CTGTCTTGTCATTCCTTCACATGCTGCACAAGTTGGCTTCGACTTGGGGCCCACATAAATTCCACCCGGACTGGAAAGTTGGGCCAAATTCCACCCAAGATTTCAGTCTGACCCAAATTACCACCCCTCATTATACATGGTTGGAGAAGGTTTTTGGGGCTATAATCCTAAAATTTGGGTTTGGCCCTCATGGTTGGAGATGGTCTAAGGTGTAATGAATCCATGCAAATCATAAAACTGTCGTCAGCAGAAGGCAGCAAATTTACCAGAGGATGTAATAAAACTTTGCATGCTGGCGTTACATGCAACTCATAAACATTAATGGAAACGTTACTTAATTATTGCATGGCAAATCAACCTCTATGCACTCGTGGAAATTTCAAAGGGAGATTCATTGTTTATGCATGAAAGTTTCCAACTCGTGAAAATTTCAAAGGGAAATTCATTATTTAGGTATGAAAGTTTCCAACTCATGGAAATTTCAAAGGAAAATTCATTGTTGTGTACACAAGTAGAGGAAGAATTTGGGAAAAAATGAGAGGGGGGGGGGGGGAGGGCGGACGGGGGATGGTCGACTAGTGGCTAGGTCACGATAGTTTAAAGAAAATAGTGTTGGAAAGAAAGAGTGATAAAAGAAAATAGTAATGGGAATCTGAATCTATAACAAAAGTTTATACAAAAGTAAGGAAGTCTATAATAAAAGCCTATACAAGTTTATTAAAAATCCAGGTAAAACCTATGGGAGTTATACAATTCCAGGAAATCTGTCACTTAAAAAAGAATCTTTCAAAAGCATATACAATCCTAATTGAATACAATCCCCTAAGTGTTCAAGGATAATTACTCATGTTTAAATATTGTGTTAATTTTGACGAGTATTATAACAAAAATATACTTTTTTAACGGTAAATGACTTGTAGGTAAAGTGTTCAAGGATAATTACTCATGTTCAAATATTATATTAATTTTGACAAGTATCATATTATTTTTAGACCGTACCTTATCTTCGGAGATAAAAGTTTTAAAGAAATAACCAATGTATAAAATTATAAGTACACAAGTTAATTTTTATGTAGTGATATTTTTCCTGACAATATTAGAATAAATTTCAAGTTTAAATATCCTGCTAGTAGATTTAAAAGAAAAAAAAAGAAGACTTAAAAAAAGGAGTTGATAAAAAATTGTATAAATACAGAAATCTCCAACTTATTTCCCTCTCAACTCAAACCGTAGCCCCTCTCTGTGGCCACTCTGATCCTGAATAACCAGCAATTGACCTCTCCGGTAATCAGATCAGACGGCTCTCGTGAGGTCATTGCTAAAACCATCGAATGCGATTATGGCTGGTGGTTCAGATGTGGCTGAACCAGCTAGCTTGTCCTGTGCTAGCTGCGGCAAACCTGCCCAGCTTCAGTATGTAAAATTTCACTTTCAGTTTTTCAATTTCAGCAAGCCTCTCCTTCTATCTGATAATTTCTGTAAAAAAAATTATGATAAATTTATGTACTTTTTCTTTGGTGGGCCGAAGACTCATAGCTATTTGTGTTTGGAAAAAGTGAATATGTTGTTTCAAAACATTTGGAAACCTTTTGGAGTGGAGGGTTCCCATTTCAATTACTAAAGCTTCAATCTTTGTGCTACTAATTGTAAAATGCTCGATTCTTATATGCTTGGAGTGTTGAAGAATTAGAAGATGGCACTTAATGGTGGTTTGCTTAGTTTTGTTAGTTAACTTTGACTTTTATTTGCAGGTGTCCCAAATGTGTGCAATTGAAGCTTCCTCGTGAAACGGCTGCTTTCTGGTTTGTAACAATTTCCTTCTTTGTACTAATGCTAAATTCTAGTGTCATATAGTTTTATTGGCAAAACTTGGTGGTATGTAGTGATTGCCAGTGAGTTGAGCATTTCAAGTGTTTAACTTCATTCAGGAGTTTTCACACATCGGCACTTCAGTTTGACGATGTATTTTAGATGTGTTAATAGAAGCTTGAAAGTGATTTATTTGTTTTTCATGTTGATGAAAGTTTGCATCTCTTACAGCACTCAGGATTGTTTTAAGGCTTCTTGGAGCTCTCATAAGTCAGTGCATCTAAAGGCCAAGCCGTCTGAACCTGGGACAGGTACTCCAGATAATCAAGGCTGGCTATATTGCTTGAAGAAAGGACAGGCTCGAACACCAAAGCTTCCCTATTTTGATTGGACTGGGTATATTTCTATGTGTTTTTCTCCCTTTTATTTCATATTAATTTTTGTCAGATATTTAAGTTTGATGGTTCTGATGCTTGGAATTATTTGTTTTATATTTGGAAATTTATGTATCATGGTTATGGTGTCAGATAGGCTATTGCTAGCTGATAGAGTTGGATGGAACATATATATATATATTTTTAACAAATCACAAGTGCTATCAGTATACTCCTTTTACCTCATTTCGTGTCTTGTACACGCGCATTTGAATTTCTTCATGAAAGTTGCTATGTCTTATGCAGGACACTGAGGCCATATCCTATATCTAGTAAGCATTCAGTACCTGCTCATATTGATCTACCTGATTGGGCAGCTGATGTAAGTTGTAGTTCAAACGACCAAAATTTGAGTAGATATAGTGCTTCATCTATTGGTGATCTAAATGGAAATGAAGTGCTGCATTTTGTTGCCATTTCTACCTGTCATTATATTGTTGACCTTATTAAAGAAATCTATTGCAGGGAACTCCAAAAGTTGAGCCCAATAGTGATCTCCAGCATATTGTCGAGGTAAGCATTTACTTGAAAACCTCAGAAGTCATACATAATGAGTCAGACTTTTTCCTTTCTAGGTTTTCCTTTTCCTTTATATTTTATTAATTTTTCTTTCTTTCTAAATGATGAATGATATATTCTTTTTGAAGATCAAGAAACCGGAACAAATTGAGAGAATGCGAGAAACTTGCCTAGTAAGTGCCAGTTAATTCTTTCCCTTTGTTCCCCTAAAGTTTTGTTTTAATGAAACAGTGTTAGCTTGCTGCATCATATATAACTTTTCATAACTTGCTGCAGGCATCGTTTCACTTCAAACATCTGTTGTATGCCTTTAAACTGAAAAACTTGTTAATGTGTTGCTATACAAGTACTGAATGCTAGACAAAGTTATAATACCAGTTGGCTCTTTCAAGGAGGATTTTCTCTGTTTGGTTTTTATTAATCTTGCTCTTACATTCGACTTTATGTTCTTAATTTACTGATATCTTGATGTTCTCGTCATAATTGTTTTGCCAGATTGCAAGGAAGGTCTTGGATAAAGCTGCTAGCGTAATCCGACCTGGTATCACAACTGATGAAATTGATCGGGTGGTCCATGAGGCTACTATTGCTGAGGGTATGTCTTTTCATTTTGTTTAGTATTCCAATAATTATGTTTCCTTGTCCATTATTGTAATGGTTTATATCTTATACTCATTAAGACTTTGACCATACCTCATTGACATGGCAATTTTATTTTTCTAATTCAAGTTTTATTTTATTTTTACTTTTTCCCTATTTGTTGCTATTTGTCTCTAATCAGATGAGTTGTATGCTTTGCAGTGGCCATGTTTTGTGTATGCATATTTGCATGTTTTATTGTCCAGAATAGAAAATGGCTGTTGTAATGATGTTTTGGCTTTTAACCACTGCAGGTGGATATCCATCTCCTCTCAATTATCATTTCTTCCCCAAGTCTTGCTGCATGTAGGTACTTTTTTGTGTACATTTTCAACGAACTGTATTCAGATTGTATGGTATTGACTTTGTAATTGCATTTTGCTTTTTATCTTTGTTGCAGGTCAGTCAATGAAGTAATTTGCCATGGGATTCCTGATGCCAGGTATGCATTGTACCTATTCATTTGAGATTTATTTATTTTCTTTAATTTTGGGAGGGAGGAGACTGAAGGGGGGAAAAAGAATATGGGTAAACTGTTTCTGTTAGTATATTTAA